TAAGCAGTGGTACTAACTGGAAAATGAGTTTAATCGTTCAGTTAGCTTTTGGATTCATTGCCAAAAATAAATTGGAATAAAAAGAAAAAGAAATGAGTTTGTTGCCGTATCGTCGTTCTGTTATTTTTTTTCTTACGAGAGATAGTTGTTTTTACAGATGAAGACTTCCTACAGCAAAAAGCTCAGCGAATGCTACGAAGCTGGTAACCTGCAGGGCGTTTGCCGTTTCCCTTAGGTCTGTCACCAAATTTTTTTTAAGTGGAACTAATGTATATTTACCTTTTTCAGAAGACAGCTTTTGACTTAGCTTGACGCCTTGATGTGAGGAAATTTCTTATTGGTTAGCATGGTCTAATGTTATTTGCCTTACGCGAGTTCCAAATTTTTACAAAAGTTGAATATTTTAATAAACCCTAATTATGTTCTTCAGTTGATTAAAAAAGTTTGTTTTTTCCACCCTGATCTGAAGAGACTTGTGAATTTCTATTTTCATCAGACATTTTAAGAACTTTCATCAGTAGAAATTAAGCTTTTATGTTGCGCTCCAAGTCAAGGATTAATTTAAACGTTTTTTGCTTTTATAGCTAATCAAATTCTAATGTTTTTATTTCTAATTCGTCATTTCTAATTTCTTATTAGTTCTGTTTAATATTTTACCAGTTTTCAAATTTTTTGAACTTCTCGAGTCACTCAAAGCTCCCGCTGTCTAAACTACCTGACTTAGAAATTTAGGTGTTTGAAAAGTACCTCACGATGCAATTTCAGACTAAGAAGAAGTTGGCTCCGGCAGTCAAGAAACAGCTTACAAAGGTGTATTTAGCGGTACAACAATTGCTATAAAAAAGTTCAACGGTGGGAAGAAAGAACAGAATTTGAATTTGTTTCTATTAGATCACTCTACTCTGATTACATTTTTGTAAGTTCTACTCTGCTTGCCGTGTTTTGCTTCCCTGTATTCAAAAGGTTTTATCTGCGTCACTAAGGTTCTGTTGTAACTAAATTATCTTTTTTTTTCTTCCAGAAAGTGTGTATAGCGATCAGAACTTTCTTTAGAGGGCAAAAGAACTTTACAGGCATTCCCCGTTTAGAATTTACCACTTATATTTTTATGGAATACTACGAGAAAAGTTCTTTAAAAGAATTGATACGCATTGGCAAATCTGAATCCGGACAGGAAAGGTTTTACGAATGGTTAATACGAATCTCTGATGAAATGAAGTATTTACATTCAAAAAACAGTGTTCATCGGGATTTGAAGCCGGCTAAGTGAGCTCGATTAACGTTTCAACTTCTTCAGCATAAAAGTACTTCCGTAGAAGTTTTAACATTTCAGTATACTTTTTGCAAAAAACGATGTGTTAAAAATTTGCAATTTTGACTCGGCTCGGGAGCGACAAGGGTCAGAAAAAAGACCGTGACGTTTTGCGGCACTATTCGCTACGCTGCTCCAGAAGTGTTCCGGGAAGACGAAGGTTACTTTTAGGTAGGTCTCGCAGGTGACGACTTCAGGTTGTTTACGAATTTTGCTGAAATAAATTAAAGCAAGAAAGCAAAATTTTTTATTTTTTATTTATCCTTTTCAAAAAATATTGCATTAATCTTCAGATGGATGTATGGAGTTTTGGCGTTTTGGTTTGGGAAATTCTGACAAAAATTAAGCCTTATGACGGCCTTGATTATTATTCAGATGTTCAGGGAGTTTGCTCTGGGTGAAATTTCTAAAGTTCTCAGCCTCACTTTTAAAGTACTGAAGAGTAAAGACCTCTTTCACTATTCTTAATTTATGCAGTAAATGTTAGATGTTTGCAGAAAAATTCACCTTTCGCCTTCGAGGAATTTACCAAAGGAATTAAATAAGTTGTTAGAACTTAGCTTCTTATGGTAATGTAAAGATCGGCCATCCTTAGGTCAAATTTTAACAGGGCGTACCAGATTAAAGGTAATTTTAGGCCCTTCAAAGTGGTAACTCTTTCTAGTTTATCTTTCCAAAAAACTTTTTGAATAGATTCTTGGAAAGCTAACTTGTTGTGGTTCGAGTAAAGCTTTGGAGATGTAAATTTCCCGTAAGATTACCTTCACTTTTAGCTTCTTGGCACACGATCAAATCAGGGATGAGGAATGGATGACATTAGTTTCTAGGTGAACCAAAGATGCGCAGACAGAAGTGCAGCGGAATAAGGAAGTGATGGATAAGGAAAACTTGAAGGTAACAGTAATCAGCAGAACTACGTATTTTAAAGTAAAAATAGTTCAGAAAATAATTAAATTAAGTTTATTTTTGGGGTCTTTAGATGTTCCAACATGTGTTTTTATCAGCTGTAGCTTCTTTAAAGCAGTAGTTTCCATCATCGAGTTTCTCAAACGAACATCTTCCGTAGTACCACATATTGGTTTTGTGTGCTGACAGGAATGGGATGCTGAAGAAACTACTGACAATGAGTTCTGGAACAAGGATCTAAGAACGGATTGCGAAATTTGACTTCATGGCTCAAGAAGTCGATAAATGATCGTGCATATTCTAAAGTTTTCTCTAAGTCTACGTCAAACAACATTTTCTGTTTTTTCTGCTCATTATTCATCTGCATTTTAATTTTCCCTGTTCGCGTTTTTGCTACAGTTTTGCCTTCAGTTTACTTTATAAAGACCTGCTATCCTGCCTCTTTATTTCCCTCAAAAAATCATCTCGAAATTTGACAAGTTGTTCAAGCCTAAAAATTCTGTCTTTGATTTGTACATATACTTTGTGAAATATCCTGACAGAGCATTTTTAGTTTTAGTTGCACTGTTACTGATTCTGACCCACTGTTAAGACTTTAAATTTCTGTTTCCCGTTTTACCAGTTTGCGTGTTGTTACCGTATATTTTTACATTTTAAATGTTACGCTTGCTGCACATACCCCTCGTTTTAATTGCCTAAACAGAAGTTGAGACAAATCAACGAGTTTAAAATTCCAAAGGTTAATTTGATATATATGTTTATATAGAAATATGTATATGTATATATACTGTCCCTCGAGAAACTGAAGGAAGCGAAGCATTCAGGCGCTTGCTGTAAGAAACTTTGCACAAAGCAGATTTTGTATTGAACTTTTCATATCTATAATATTGAAGAAAAGTAAACTGGGAAAAATACAACTGAGAAGATGCAGCTGTCAACAGTTAGATAGGATGCTTTGCCTATCGGCTGTTACAAACGATGATCTTACCGCTTGTGTCGTTCTTCACCGTTTCTGATAATGCTGCTACATATATTTTTTACAGCTGCTTACATATAAAGAATAACTTTTATTATTTTACTGTAAGTTGGTAGTTTTAAAGGTTTCTGTATAAATGGAATAAAGGAATAAACTACCAAACAAAGAGCAGCATGCAGAGATGTTCACAGTTGTAGTTTTCTTGGCAATAGTTCTTTGGCATGTTAGATATAAAAATCCTATGACCCTGTTCGGTTTGTCCAATTCTTGTTAGGTATTTCCTATTGGAACGTACTTATTTGTCTTTTTTATGTACCAAAGACAGTTGACATTTTTAAATATTTCGTTTTTGGACTCATTGTTGATGGTGCGGGACGATGTTGTTGAAGATTTTTTTAGAACTTTTATAAAACTTTTGTTGTTTTATTGAAAAACTATTGAAAGAAACTCATAGATGGCTTATAGATTCATAGGACTTGACTTGAAAGTAATGTTTACATATAGGTAAAACAGTGCCAGTAACAAGGAAATTTTATCAAAAATAATTTATGCACGTATAAAGCTGTATTTTCCCACTTTTTCTTCATACTGCTTTTTTTTGAAAGAAATAACAATGGCAAAAAACCAAATGCGTTATATTTTTATTATTTATCTTTGAATACGAGTCAATTTTTTATATACTATATAGGGTTGACTAAGCTGATGACTTAAAATTGCAAAGGAAAAATTGATCTGACACTTACGCTACAAATGAAAGAATCCTTCTTTAAATCAAAAATTGAGTCAAAGTAAATCAAAAAATTTTAATGCCTATTTCAAGTATCGCTGAGCATAAATATTAAGCACTTATCTGATTCCAAACAGGAAAATTTATTCTGTATCTTAACATAAATTCTTTCAGTAGCAGTAGAAATCAGAAAGAAAAATAATAATTTATTGATAATGATCTATTACTTTCAGCAATTTGAAAATCTGTACATTGCTTGATAGGATTAACTTATCTGTTAAAAATGGTTAAAAAATTTAAAATAAAACTGAATAATAACTGCGCTCAAAATTACTTTATTTCTTAACTTTATAATGTCCTTGAAAATATTTAGTGGCTTTTTAAAATCTACAAAACGGAATGAGTAAAGAGAAAAAAAGGTGCCGGAAAAACGTTACCATACATTTTCAGTTGAAAAGAAAAAGATGTTGCAAAAATTATTTTGATGCATAAATTGTAGTTAAAACACTTCTGAGCACAGTATTCAGTTCAGGCAGTATTCCGATGTGTATTTTTATTGTTATCGTTTAAGTGCTCAGATGGCTTTTTATATTTTGGAGCAGCAACTCTTCTTTGAAGTGACCACTCAAATGCGTCCACTTATTTACGGTCACTCTTTAATGGTCATTTTTAATACTTTCAACCGTTTTATTTTTGACGTCTAAGCATATGTTTTCATGCATGTAAGCACTTTCTTCAACATTATTTTATTTCAATTTGGGGTTAGTTCTGAGCCGGACACTATAATCGTTTTTGTCTTGCCAGATTGCTTACTTACTGTTTAGCAGTATTTTTCAGCTGCATTCAGCACTTTTTAAATCTCATATTTTTTGATAACCAGCAGTTTTGGAACAAGAAAAAACAAGTTAAAAAGTATGACGATTGTACATTTTGACTTTGCTTTATTTTAATTTTTTTATTGTTTCTACGCAACAGTCTGCAAATATATCAATTTTTTCAGGTTTTTTGAAATTAATTTTCAATTTAAAAATTAATTATCAAAAAAGAGGGGTGCTACTGTAACGTCAAAAACGAAACGGATGTACTCTGTTCCAGATTATTGTCAATTGTTGAAAATTACAGGTTTCTTTTTTTTAAAATGCATTTAGGTCATTTGACCTATATTGTATTTTTTGATAACATTTATTATACTTTTTATTTGAAATTGTTAAAAACACTTTTTTTTGTTCTGCACCGAAGTTATTGTTTAAAAGTCACGATTTTCTGGATTACAAACACGTCTCCTTAGGATAAGCACCATTTTTATTGATAATCGGGATTTTGATTAAATGTGAGGAGTAATTGTTCGACTAAATATTATTAATTTAGCTGTACTTTGTTTCACAGATTCCAGAGGCGGTGTTAAAGAAGTATTGTTCCCAAAAGCACTAGATTTAACCCGGCCGAAGAGGCCAAGGACAATGTTTTCTAAGGCGCAGTTGGCGGATTTAGAGAGAGAGTTTCAAGAGAATCCATATCTGGTCGGCGAAAAAAGATCGAAACTGGCCGCAAAGTTGGAACTTACTGATACCCAGGTATATATGATTGCTTGCTTACGTTCCTAAATGCTACTATTTCAATCGGCCCAGCAGATGTTACTAAACTTTTTTTAAACTTTGTGTAACATCTCAAATACACTTCATCAACTAGTGTAAAGTTAAATTGTTTTTCAAACTGTTCTAGTTTAACCGTCTTAGGAGAGTCGATAAGCTAAAAACTTTTGTTTGGTAGTTGCCACGTTAGTGTTTTTTTAATGGTATCCAGTGAAAAGTCAAAACAGTTTGCAGTTCGACTACACTGAAAATTGAACCTCGTCATAAAAATAAATTTGCAAGATGCAGTCTCCAGGTGCCAACGTGGTAAAATCATAAAAACGTTAGATATGCAAACAAGGAAATAATATCTAAAGATGCCCTGCACAATTAAATAGTACCTGCTTTTAAATCCGTCAACTTTTCAATAATTAACTGACAAAATAAAACTGTCCTGTCCTCTTTATTCTCTGAAAAGTAAGATCGAAGTGCAAAGTTTCTTGAACTGCTTGTTTATTGTCGTCTTGAAACCTCAAAATATCTTCAAATCTCCATTGAAAAACTGTGGAAGCTCTTGGCTCTCTAACCCATATTTCATTATCAATTTCAGTAAAGAAATTACAGAAGAACGCGGCTGTTAGTTTCCATTTCCAACTCCAAAATCAAAAGATACAAAGTTTTGTTTTTTGAAAACTGTGTTTTTAGCATCTATCAGGTTAAAGCTTCCGGACTGGAATCTAGGATAAAAAGATTTTATAAAAGTCCCGAAACAATTTAAATATTCAACCAGTGTAGTTCAACTCCAAATTTTAACAAAAAATTTTCCGTTTAGGTAAAAGTTTGGTTTCAAAATCGAAGAACAAAAACCAAACGTAAAACTGAAGCAAACGCATTGACACCAACTGTCACCAGGTATTAGACGCACCTGTTGTTACGTATCGTTCTTCTGCGATTATAATATGCAATCCTTTTTCTTTTAAGAACAGTGGAAAACTCGATTTCATCGCTCAGTGAAATCACTAAGCTCCCGCTACCAATGTTGACTTTCGACCAACAACAGTGTTGCAACAGCATCAATTTTTCATCATCTGCTACTAATATGTGCAATTCGCAACAAGACTGTACTAAAAAATTATGGGAAGCTGTCTATAATCCACCAAATTTTAATGTTCCATGCAGCTCGATATTGTTCTTAACAAATTCCAGATGAACTTATTTTTTGTGTTTCAAACTTCTTTTGCCTTATAATTAAATCTGATTAACTAAACTGTCCTCTACAACCACACATAAATTGATAACAGGAAAGTTAAATTCCTTCAGTATAAATTTTTGCAGTAGCGAAATTTTCAAAAAAGAAAAACTTTTCATGACTTTCTGCCACTCAATTGGTTGACATTACCTGTATATGTCTACAAAACTGCTGACGAGAGTGGGATTCGAACCCACGCCCCCGAAGAGACTGGTGCCTAAAACCAGCGCCTTAGACCACTCGGCCATCTCGCCCACAACGGTCTCTTCTTTTCATCAAAGGAGGATTCCTCTCCACCTGCACTGTTATATCAAATTTTACAGAGTTCAATTTTGCCCCAATACATCTGCACTTGAGCTCCAACTTTTTTTCTGCACATATGTATTTTTTTACATGATTAAGACATCAATAAACAGTGCTATACCTAGCCATTGCTTAAGCCTGTCGTAGTGGTACTTCTGTATTAGTCCTTTTCATAAGCGGTGAACCAAATGAAGTATCAACGCTTAGAAATCAAATAGACCAACTACCTCGAGCATAGTAGAAATTCGGCTTCACATAACCCTTGGATTTTGCACTCAGTTTTAAAAAAGAGTGGACTGAAACTGCAGCACACTTGCAACAACGTCGTACCGAGGTCTCGTTTGTACAAACTATTAACAGTCCATCGTCGACGACAGCAAGTACGACCAATTCAACGGCAGAGGAGTTCATATAAGTATCACAAATACGGTACGCGCGACTTTACTCCTTCAAGGATATGTCAAGAGACAAAACCACTTTTGAAATTAAAGATTATACCTCTATATAAGAAAATTCCTGGCAAAGTCTACCGACAATGTTCGATTACGAACGCTATGACTTAGAAAAAAGCGTATTAAATTGGAACGTTTTTAACCAGCAAAAAGTTCTTTTAAGTTTGTCAACTACTCTACTGGTGATGTTATTGAAAATTTCAATAACGAACCGTATTCAAAGGACAGTGGACATTTAAGAACTAAGTCACTTGATTAACAAGATAGTGACTGCCACTGTAGCTTCAACAACGACTTCAGCGCAGTCATCAAGCATCGGAAAACTTGGAAAGCTGTTCGAACCTGCGGAATTCATGTAGGGATTTTCAAACAAAACTACCCACAAAAATCCTGAGTTCCTTTTCAAAAAAACACAACTCTGAAAAGATTTTAAGAAATACTCTGAGGCTTTACAGAACCACACTTCACCACTCCTTTGTCATTCGTAACTCATTCTCAACTTCAAAGGGCTAAAATGCGACAGCAACCAAAAAAAGTAGAGGCTTATTCCTATTAACGACTGCACTGCGGAAAAGTTCTCAAGCAGCTGAAACGTCACAAAAAAGATCAATAGGCTGATGAACTGTGAGTGGTGCAGAAGGACATTTTGCCATCCAATGCTTCTTGAAAGTGAGAAGCGTACAAACAGTAGCTCTTTCAAAAAAGTTTCTCAAGATACTACATTGCGCATCTGTACTCCCTAAAAACACATCTCGAACAATGACGAGTTACAAAAATCACTGCTTTCAAACTGAACCTTCAAAAACAAGTTATTCGCTTCATTTGGTGCCCACTAAGCTGCGAAAATCTGAACTGCTGAAGATTTTGAACTTCTGTTTTATAAGCCTCATTTCACAGCTCTTGAATTATTTGGACAAATAAGTTCTTTTGAAAAAGTGTGTTACTGTATAAAACTTAAGTAGTTCACCGTGACTACAAGACTGCTGCAGCCAAAATCCGCTATCGCAGTTTCTTCCCTAAAAGAAGAGAAGCGTGAAGATCCGCAAGGCATATACGGTTTCCCCAAACACTTTTGCCGCTAACACTTAAGGGTGATCTTTACGATATGACCACTAAAAGCACCTGCCACAAAAAAATTACTGACAGTTAATTGAATAACTATAAGCTTCCTGGAAGAAGAGGGTGTTAATGAGAGGTCAAATAAATAACATTACAGAAGAAACACACATTTACTTGTTCAAACCTAACTACAACTGGCCGAAGAAGGAAAAACTGCAAAACTCAACCATGAAAATCAGTACTATGTATAAAACTACAAATTCCTAACGTTGCGGAACGAAAATATGCATAATTTAAACAAAAAGCTATTGATCAATATATATATCCATGCAAATCCTGTACATATAATAACAACAAAACAATTCCTCCTACAGAGGTCCCCATTAATGGTTCGCTTTACTAAAGTACGACTTCGACCCTTCCACATCCGGTTTAATGGTCGCTTCACCTTCCTCCCAGTTAGCAGGACAAACTGAAACAGTTCTTACAATAGTAAAATTTTTTTAGCAGTAACTTTACGAAAAAGTCAGGATTACAAACTTTAAGTTTTGAATTAAATCGAATCAGAGCCGTCCACAGTTTTAACTGATTTATATTTAAATTTTTACAATAATGATGGTTCATCCTTAATACTCTTCGTGAATCGAGAGAAACTTGGAAAACATACCTTCGCCGTGTTTCTCCACGAACTGGAAAGCTTTTAGGATCCTCAACGCCTCATCAACACTGCGTCCGACGGGAAAATCATTAACAAGAGTGTGTCTAATTTCGCCGTTCGGGTCAATTAAAAACAAGCCACTAAAGAAAAACCTGATTAAAAAGTAGGAGCACGAAAATTTAGCGAAAAAGCAAAACCTACTCATGGAAATCCCAAAACCATTAAATACCTTGAGTACTTAGCAGTTCTGGAATCCGCATTACAAATGTATTAAGAAGAACTGTACCGGAAGGCTGCTCCTGAATCTGGGCAAAGCACTCCAAAAGACTCGGCAATCTTTTTGTTGAAGTCGGCAAGAATCGGTATCTTGAAGATAACATGTATGAATTTATAGATACAGAAGAAAACCAAACAACTAACAAATACGTAGATAAAAAATATCTAACCTTCATATCACCAAGCCCGCCTTCATTACGTGGTACCTGAGTCCACGCAAGGTGAGAAAATTGGGAGTCACAACTGCAGGCGACAACTCCTGCATTCAATTTCTCAAACTCACCGGCTCTGTCATTAAAGGCAATGATTTCGGTCGGGCAGACGAAAGTACTGAAAAATTGACTATAAAATGACCATATAATCAAAAATTAGCAATGCAACAAAACCTAGTCTCAGTAGAACCCTGTCAATTTGCTCGTTCTGTAACCATTTCCCGCCAAAAATGCGACAAGATTTAGGTGTAGATTGGATTTCTCAATGTCAACCTTAATTTTAATTGCTAAAACCCATCAAAAATAGCAAAGGCGCACTCAGAATCAAACCAAGGGTCGTCACGCCATAGAGCGAAACAACGCCATTGAGCACACGCATTAGCGGTTGTTGAAATCCTAGAATTGATGAAGCAGCAAATGAGGCAGTACCCAAACTTTGTGAAAGATAATTTAACGAGATTTTCTTGCACTGTAACAATGGGAAAAATAGAGGACGGCAGCTTTACTAAGAACTCCGCAAAGCTCCACTACTTACAGCATGAACAAGCGGGAAGAATTACCAACTCTTCTTGACAGGATCTTTGAAACAGCTTCACAGATACCAATTTTAAAAAACCATAATGCGTTTAATAAAAAGGCGAAATAATAGCAGAAGACCTGGTGTACCACTCAAAAAAAAAAAGCAATGTAGAGAGACCATACTGAATCGACACTGAAACTTACAAATCCATCGGATAAAAGAAGACGATCAACCATTTGCCTTTGTAGTCCTTCGCAGAAATTGTCTTAAAATCGCCGTTAACTAATGCCGTCCCCTGAAACAAACCCCATATTTCAAGTCGCCCACTGGTGCTGCGTGCAAAACCATAATAACTTACATTAAGCCCCTTTTTACATTCAAAAAATTCTAAATTTCACTACATTCCAAAAGTACTTGTTTCAATGTAGTTAAGATTAAGCTACTTCATTAACAAGTTGGATTAAACCGTCCTCAAACATAGTTTGAAACTGTTATTTTCAAGGAACATCAACCGCAAATTCTTTCACGTACTTCCTTTCCAAAACCAATTGTTTTTGCCTCTTTATGACCTTAAGACCTCAAGAAGTAATATTCAGCGGCGAAGAAAACTAAACTCGTTCTCGCAGTTAAAAAACTTGAACTCTTCCTTCAAAACCCTACTAAGCGGAAAAAGTCAAGATGCATAGCAGGTTCAACTTCCTGAAGGGATGAAAAAATAATCCGCAGACCAAAAGACCTAAAATCGTGACTCATGAAACATACGTATACCATTGTACTTACCAGTATGACCTCATTTAGTCATATTGAAGAACTGGCCAGATTTTAGAACATTTAGAGCTCAAGATACAAGTCGTCAAAATCTTAATATTAAGGCAAAATTAGGATAAACCTATGAAAACAGTAAAACGTAAAATCATTTGAATTACCGAAAAATCTGGCACATGACATTTTGGGCCAAGTGGTCTGATACCAAGAACAAAGTGAGAGGTTGAGAACGGAGCAACCCTCAGGTTATGTTGTGCAGCAACTGATACTACCGAGAGACTTCTGGCCTAAAGTTTCTAGAAAAAAATCAACTGAAAAGAACAAAGAAATCATTGTAAACAAGTTTCTTTGCATAAGCAACCAGTGCAAAAAAGCAAAATGAACAGTACGCAAAGTAGGTTTCTTTTTTCTAAATTAAACCTGAACTGCTTACAAATAGTGAACGGAGCATTGCGGAAAACGATTATCTACGAAGAATCCTCACCCTGCAACTACAGAAAACATTAGTTTTAAGGCATTTATTTCTCTAAACAAAAAATCTTCGCGGCTATTAAACAACACATTAAATACAATTGCATAGAACTGGAGCATTTTTCCTTTTCCTAGATACTTTTGTCGACGAAAGCAACACACTATATGCACACACACATTCAACATTCGACAAACGATCAGTACTTCCGAAACTGACTGTCGAAACAGAAAAGTTCGACGACCGAGCTCAAATTGCCTGAACATCATTCACTTTTGGCTTTAGTTTCAGCTCTCATTTCCCAACAGCAGTATAGCAAAAGTTTTACGCTGGCAGCTGCTGAGCCGTGTTTTTTCAGTTATTTATTTGAGGCAATTTCAGTAAAAGGAACCTGCATGCGGAACTGAAACTTCCTTTGGGTAAACTTCATCAACTGGTACAGTGAACTAGAGTCTTCTTAAACCAAAATGTCTTTATTGGATTATGGGAAGTGCATGATAAGGAAAAAGGAAATTGTCATGATATTTGGAACGTCACTCGACTATTGTCTTTCTTCCATAAGAATCTAAGATGTTGCTGCATTTGAACTTTTTTTGATATTGAGTCAGTTGATGAGTGTAACCAGAAATAATGTAACTTAACCTGATGGTTGCACAGGAACTGAGGGAATGCCATTCTAAAATGTATGTTAATAATGTATGCTTTCTTATATATTCAGCTATAAGTTTGTAACTTTTTATCACATCTGAAATAGATTCATTTCGAAACCAGCTGTGTATTAGATATCTGAAGAAGCTTTTGTAGAAATACTGTTTTTTCACATTTAATTGTTCCTCTGTTACCACTTCGTAGTCATCATTATAAGTGTCAATATAACTATTTTTTGCCAAAAGTTTATTCAAAATTCTTTTTTTAGTACTCAACAGAAAATAATTCTTTCAATTGTTATTTGTTAACAAGACTTAAGTTTTAAAGTGTATGGGGCTGTACCAATTTACGGTAGAGTTCAGGCAAGAGAATATATCTTAATATTGGTGGCCACTGTTTAATCACTTATAAAGCGACAATAATGTAATGGCTTTGAGTTAGTCACTACAATGAACACAAAATATGGAGTTTTTTCAAGGGACGTTTAATTTTACTTTTCAGTTTAAAGTCTAATGTCAGGGGCTGTTATAAACATAAAGTCTTCTAATTCTTCTTATCAGTTTTGCTAAAAAAGGACGTTATTTAATCTGGAAGTACTTATTTATTGAGAATTTTGTTCCTAAATCGTCTTTTGTCTCATTAAATTTGCAACCAAATCTGCGCAGTGTACCGTAGGAATTGGTAGCTTTGCAACAATGTTTGCTGTTAGAACTCATTTGACTCCATTTCATTTTCTGTTCACACTGCTGTCGTTATTATCTGGTTGACAAGGAAAAACTCTATGCCAATTTTAGCTGAAAGTACTCCATAGTCCACTTTGCTTAGTTTCAACGTGCACGTCAAAAAAACAAAAAAAATTGTTATTTTATTTGGCTTGAAGTGAACACTTGAACATAGCCAGCGGGCGATTTGCACAGGAAAAAATTTCACACCTGTTTTTACAAGAGGCGCAACTGCTTCCACATGAAAGTCTGTTTAAACAAGGAAGACTTAATGATAAGAAATTGTAATAATTTGCTTCTATTACCAACATTCATGTTGGGCATCTCAACAAGAAACACAAGATTTATTAGTGAAGAAGACGGTAGCAATTTCGAGAGAAAGAAAGAAAAGCTCTTCGTCACTAGCCAGCCTCTTTATTGAAAACAAAGTAGAAAAACCCGAATACTGAAATAAGAAAGGTTTAAATGAAAGACGAGCTTAAACTCTGCAAAGAAGCCCATGTTTTTTAGGAAAGTATAGGCAACAAGTACGCGGCCAACTTAAACTCAGGCAGGCTGGTTGGACCAAAGAAGATATCTGCCACCTAAATAAAATGCGGCGGTCGAGCTTTCGACAACCGGAAATACGGAGATTACCAGCTTCCTTTGGACTGATCCTCGAGGATTACGTGCATCGCACTTATTGATATCACCAATGCGACTTTGTACTGAAAATTGAGGATGTTTGGAAGATACGATTTTTTCCTTTCTTTGCGTATAGCTACCTAGAAGTGTGTTCTTCAGAAAAATGAACTTTAATTGGGGGGTTGGCCGAGCTTTTTTTTTGCATACTTCTTTTTCTTTGAGGAAAGTTTTTAGAATTTGTGTAGGCATACAGCCGGATTGACTGCTTATACCCGCCTACCAGTGAACTCTAATTTACTTTTTTTGCTTTTTTTTTTTTTACATATTTTTGGATTTTTACTAATTTATGTGATGGTTGTCCTGTCCTTATGACGGCTATATGTATTATATATTACATATTACTATATATGGTAGTATATATTACATATATTTTAAAATTTTTTTGAATTTTGCTGACTAGAACACTCTAGGGTAGTGTAGAAGAAGCAGGAAAAAAACCTGGAAAAGTGAATTCGCCGCCACGTTACACAACCTCAAGGTTGCAAGCTTTGCCAGCTTGCCAATTGACCTGCCTGTCATTGCAGACTTGTAATTCAGGTCGTTTTAAACTGCCATGTATTGAACATTTAAATGCACATTTATCTTTTAACTCTGTTAAAAAGCAAAGAAAAAGAGTAAAAAAAACGCACAAATATATCTTCTTCAACTTCAAACTTTGTTTTTTTTTTT